TGACCCGAATTCGATAGCAATTACCGACCAACTGAACAGACACACCTACATAACCAACATTCGACAGCCTAAAAGTCTAACAGATGTTGCACCACGAAGCACCATCTGTTTCATCCAGAAAGAAACTTCACTTTACAAAAACAACAACCCAAAAAAAAATAGGTTCCCCACCAAAAAAAAAAGAAACACTCTCTTACAAGACCCACACCCCAAAGCTCACAAACCTTCTCACTAAACATTCACTTCAGCAGCGTTTCCGCTCCAATTGAGGATCTTTCCCTTCCTTCCCCCCTCCACAAGTTATTTTTGCACACCGGAAGCCTGGTGCAAAACCGACACAACTTCCCTCCTCCAGCAGTGGCATGGGGGGAAAAATTCGCAGGCGCAACAGAACCCAACTACAACGTCAAAGCGACTGACACACAGAAGCCTTGAGAAACTCTTCAACCTTCGAACAGTTTCTCCCCCCTTCAAGTTTACATCCAAAGGACCTTGTCAAATGATCAGCTTCTGTCCTTCTCTACTCTACCCCCTCCCTCCCTCCCTCTCTTCCCTCAGAATGTTCTCGAGAAAACCGTTAGATCATTGAGGAGGTGAAAGACTGAAGGAAAAGTAGAAATAACTCTACATTCTGATCACCGAAAAGTTGAAACTTTTGCGAGGAAAAAGAAGTGTCCTTTCTTTGCTAGCGAGCCGAGGTTTCGACCGGATGCAATAAAAATGCCGACTATTAGAAGTTACTTTCAATTTTTTTTTCTTCGGGAAGCTCGTCATTCCACGGGAGGCCAATCATTCACGATTTACGCCTCATGATGAGCCATTCCGCATTGATACATAAACAACCGAAAAAAGTTCCTAGTTTCCGTAGTCATTCCATGACAAGAACTTTTGCGCAGTACGCGAATACTCAAGCATTCTATTTGACCAAGAAATGCAGCGCAAGCATGATGATCTCGCAGAAGTACAATATGAAGTACTGTACTGTACTTGTAGTCTGAAACGTTCACCACCAGGTTTCTCACACATAAGATCTGGAACAACAGTCAGCAAATCGCCAAATAGACCTGACTCATTATTCTTGCAAAGGGATTCGTTTCTCTGTCTTTATACGTCAAGTTGAAAAAATATATACGTTTTAACCTGCTTGGCCTTTATGCCAGTCCAAACTAAACATTTACAACTCATTTACAGGCCGTACCAGAATTCTCTAGAAAGTTCAAAAAGCAAAAGCAACACATGGTGTGCAGCAGTACTCACACAACTCTATGTGTCTAGATAAGCTACAGCACATGTAACTCGCCTTGAATTAATTCTACCAGTACTTGGCATGTCTCCCATTCTAAATGAATTTCACCAACTATTAATTCTGCACAATCAATTTGCTCAAGTCCATTAACCCAAACATTGCCCTGTTGGCAGCAAACAACAGACGAAAAGCAAGATGGAGCTTGTTCATATGTCATCCCATTCTCTTGCCAATTACCATTTGAAAATTTTGAATAAACATAGACTACGTAAATATTCTGTGCATCAAAAACATAAACATTCATTCAACCATGGTCTCTCAATAAAGGTCCGAATTTCACCAACTATTAATACTGCACAATCAATTTGCTAAAGTCCATTAACCCAAACATTGCCTTGTTGGCAGCAACCAAAAGACAAAAAGTAAGATGGAACTTGCCAATATGTCATCCCATTATCTTGCCAATTACCATTCGAAAATCATGAATAAACATAGACCACGTAAATATTCTGTGCATCAAGAACATAAACATTCATTCATTCAACCATGGTCCCCCTCAATAAAGGTCCGTCCAGAGTAAAGCCCGGTGACCGGCGCGCGTAAAAGAAGTAAAGCGTCCCTCTCGACAAAAAAATAAAGGAACCACACGCCACTCTCCCTACACCTCAGCGACCCGCGTTATTCCCTCCCTCCCGTCCTCTCATACCAACTCAACAACCCCCCCCCCCCCCCTCGCGGAAATCGATTGGCTTCTCTCTTCCTCTTTCTCATCATACTTTTAAACCGAATGCGTGTGTAAGTGTGTAGAGGAGGGAGGACGAGGGAGTTTTATGTGTTAGAAAAGAAACATCCCTCCCGCGAAATCGATGCGCGCAAACCGATGAGGACAGAAGAAAGAAAAAAAACGTGAACCTCTCTCACACTCGCGCACACACACACACACACACAATACGCCATGCAGGGTGAAGTTGTGATGTGACTGACGGACAGGGATGTGAACCCCACACACACGCATATACAAGTACAATACGAATTCTTCAACGAACCTATCCCCCTCCTCCCGACACACACACACACATACATACTTTCCTGTAAAAGGGGCACACAAAAAAAAGAAACTTGGAGAAATAAACGTAAGGGTGGTTACAAACTATGTATGAGGCGAGTTACTTGGTTGGTTGGACACCTGAAAATAACCCGCACCACGGGGGAACCACGCCATCTTCGAACGCGCTTTTCTTTGAGACACGAGTTTCTTCACGGTCCTCATATGTGAGCAAACTGGGTCTTCTTTGGAATCTCACACAGACAGATGGGCAAATTCCTTTTACACACCCAGCACAGTCTCAAAAATTACAGCTTTCACATTCGGATAAATGAACCAACCTTATAAATACAGTATTATCAATTTAAGCAGTTCGAGTCACTATAAAAAAGAAATAATCTCAGAATACAGTGAAACATACTTAAGCTAATGTACTGTATTAAAAGACAAATTCCTCCCCAACCATGCATTCTGAAGAACTCACACAAGGTTGAATTCCATGCTGACAAGATGCAAAGGGGGAAAAACATTTCTGCGAATCTTTCCAAGGAAAAGTGGATCAAACTTACACCATGCCATTATTTCGAAGTGTGGTGTCATCTCGTAACCCTGAGATTTTTCCAAGCCCCATAAGAAGGTCATTCTAATTATCCTCGAAAATCTCAAGGCAGCTCTGTTCAATTCTGGGAATAGCATCTTTCATTCTAGCTTCATGTTAACACCATTTACAGTAAATCTTATTCTGCCAGGACACTCGGGATGAGGACAACCCCACAAGGCACTTCAACTCATTTTGTGAAAACACACTACGAATTACTCTCCAATGTTTTTTTAATGCGTGTGCTTAGTTTTACCAATGGAACTGAGATTTGAAAACAAATTTCAAATAGAACTGAATAAACTTAAATTCGTTTTCCGCCATGCAATACTTGCTAGCATTCAGGTCGACATTCTTCAACTCATTTGGCCCGTTTTGTACACATGTTAAAATTCAGGATATAATCTCGATTTTCCTACTACTACGAAATACAACACTGTGTTGAATCCTAGATTAACACTGATGAAACTTCAAAAAAAATGTTTTAAACCCTGACAAATTTTCCGATGACAGTGTCTCATGCCCAAACTTTGCAGAAAATGCCACCCCGAGTTTCTCCAACTGCCATAATTCTCGCGACTTCAAATTTCCAAGTATCCATCAAGATTCAGACCACGGAACAAAAAAAAACCGGTCCACCAAAAGTACCTCGTTCCAAAAACAAAATAATAATAAAAATCCCCTCGAAACGTCAACTTTCAAAATCGGCAGTAATCTCGCGAAACGTCGAGGGAGGGGAGAAGCACTCAAATTTCAAAGGAACCCGTTACAAAGTACCTTTCCTCAAAATAATAACGATTTAAAAAAAAGACGAGGAGGGACCAAAAGTAGGCCACGTTTCCAAGTACCGCAAGCAGTACACGTGGGGAGTCCCTCTCCCTCTCTCCCACTCACATATACAAAGGACAATGACTCGTGACTACAGACGTCCGGTCCACCAGAGAAGGCATACGAAAAAGCAACGCGACAAGGAACTCCAACCTAACCTTCACTGAGGAATAAAATTCCCCCGGTGGTGCGGAAATGAAGGAGGGCAAGAGGTTTTTTTTTTTACAAAAATAAATAAAAACTAAATTCAGTGAGGTAGAAAATAAAATATGAAGAGAATTTCGTGGTGCTGCTTTAGTATGACATCCACACACTTTTACAATCAATGTGAGGATACTCTAACTGATTTTCCCCAATAACTGCAAAATTGTTCACTCACAAGTTAACTTCAACTCACTCAACAAAAAAAAAAGAATTTGTAGATGCATCGGCAAAAATATGGAATCCACAACAAATTTTTCGGTGAAAGGTAAATTTTACAATACAATAGTGTACTGTACGCGAAAAAGTCGAATATCACAAGATAAATCCCAAAATACTGTACAAAATTATACCTCATGAATCACAATTCCATGACAAGGAATATGGCAAAACGTTAAATGTGAATATGACGTGAGAAAAAGCTTAGCCCAAAAAATTTTTCCACAATCCAGTAGAATCCTTTCTTTTTTTTAAATTTTAACGAATTATAAATTACAACGAAGTAATTTCTTAAGGTCCCTTCCCAATCTCCACAATGTGAGTTACTTCACGAAGAACTTTTTGGTGAAAAAAGAGCTATTTCACCGGTCAAATTGGTTTCGTTGTAACGAGATTCTACCGCATTATACAACACGTAAAGAAAACCGTGCTCAACTCCACAAAGAAAAATCCCAAAATCCAAGACCCAAAATATTTTTTTTCAAATTGAAACTAACTTCGCCATCAAATATTTATGATTAAAATGCGATAAACCTTCATTTAACGAGAAAATGCGTCCAATTTTCACAGAAAAACAAAAAGAATAGTTCACCGAGTGAGTAGGAAGATGCCATACTGAAAAGGTACCAATTTCAGCACCAGCACATTTCCTCTCTCTCCCTCTCGTAACTTGCCAAAAACTTCCCTCCCACAGAAAAACGTCAGTACCCGGCGATTACGGTCGCCCACGTCGATCAAAAAGTCACAGCCCGGCGTAGGAAAAACCACTTCCTCACGAAATACATACATACAAATCTTCAACGACAGCACACAAAAAATATATATATATATAAATAAAAACGTGGAGAAATTGAGACGCTCACCATTGGAAAGCACCGAAATGGTAGTAGACCAGACCGAGGCCGTACAAAAACGCGGGGTCCTTCCAATTATCCTCCTTGAGGCCATTGTACTTTTGATACGCTGACAAGGCTGTAAAGAGGGAAAAAAAGCAACAACAAAACAATCATTAAATGGAAACTTGTTCAAGCGTCACATGCAGTTTCCAACCCACAAGTTTTCTATATATTCTAGTATTTGAAGAGAAATGCAATGCATGAGTTAATTTTGGCGTAAATCATACAAAAAAAAAACAAGTTTCGTCACACGCGCAAAGTGAAATGAAACCTCAGTGGAGCTTTTACAGGCAAGTAAAATCTTTTACAGACAAGCCCTCAAACCTAAAATGGCACACGAAAAAAAATTGAATCAAATAAAAGTACATAAATGGAACATGCGATCAATATTCTCGAGAACATAAATTATGAATTGTCATTTCCAGCCTCACACGTGTATAAAGTAAATAAAACCCCTTCTTATTCTGATCCTCTTAAACTCTAAAAATACATCTTCAACTTGTCAAAAAAGATAAAACAAAGAAGGAAAAAAAAGCAACATTTCCAACTTTGAAATCCCTCCCAATTTTTTATCTTACGTAAAATTTCTCATATTTAAATTGTTCACATTTAAATGAACCCCGTTTTCAAAAAAGAAAAGTTAAACTCGATTTTGATTTCTCACGCAGGACGTACACTTCCGCTTTCAGGACACCCTGCATCAATTCTCCACACACAAAAAAGAAAAGAAATCGCATTTCCTACTTAAATCAAATTATAATCTGTCAAATCTTAGAATTCCTAGAAAGTCTCTTCAATTCATCTGTAAACCGACTCGTCTTCCACGGCGGAAACAATGAAGCAGCATTTCCGCTTCCCAACTTTATTTCTTGCCAAATCCACGCCTAGATTTCACGGAGAGCCTTTACCTAATTCATTACCCCCCGTAACCCTCAGACAGCAAAAGAAAAAAAAACCTCTTACACACCTAACCCTTCTTCCCTATTTTCGGCCTTGTCTTGAATCAAATTCATTTCTTCTTTACAATGAGCTGCGAGGTGGGGGGGGGGGGCAATGAAGCAGCATTTTTTTCCTTCCATTCTAGACGAAAAAATTCGGCCCTCTTTCTTTTCTCCGGAAAAAGGTGATGTTCCGGATGGTGGATGCAACATAAGCAAGGCAAAAGCATAAGAACAAAACGTGTGTAAGCCTGTGGCATTGGTGCGGGTCTTTGACCCTGAAACCCGAGGTGATCGTCCACGCTTTTTTGCCTCCCCATTCCTGGGGGCGGCGGACCGAGACCCTCGACTCCCAACCTGATTATTCCCTCTCTTCACATACACTTCCAAAATCTAATAAAAAAATATATATGCTCTTATAAATATATATTATATACCATAATGTGAATCCCAGAGAACGTTTTTCCTTTTCTGGTGCGGGGGGTGGGGAGGAGGAAGAGATGAAGGCAATCTCGATCATTTATCGCGATCCGGGAATAGCTGGGAATTCCCTTTGTTATTGCATTACCACTTCTTCGAGTCCCAACAAAGACATTATCTCGGTCTCCGGACAGTCATCAATATTGTTTCTCCCTTTAAAAAGAGTAGAGTAGGATCTCGGTCCAAAGAATGCATGCTTTACAACGAATTTCGTTGTTGTCCCTGTCCAATGGTAGTTAAATTTAGTTCTAAAGAATTTTCGTTAAAAACCAAGCTTTTGCCAAGGTCCCCTAATAGTACTTCGTTGCAATGAGAGTCTACTGTATCTACAGCACATTACGATTCAGGTTACCCAACATTTGAGCATTTGGACATTTCAGGATTCATGAGCATGGGGTCTTTCAGCATGATACTTCCAATACATGATTTCACAAGTGATTTATTCTGCCATAGAAATTTCATAGGCAACTTGATGCAGAAAGATTTTCTGAGTAATTCTGCCTGATGAGTAACTGCTAATCAGTTTCTTTATGCTCTCATTGATTTCCTTGTACTTCAGAAATTTCTGTGTGCACTTGACCACTGAATACACTCATATACAGGGCAAATTGAAGTCGTCCTTCCCGCTGCATGGCCCAAATGAACTTGAACACTGATGGATTTGGGTTGTCAATCTGTGTTTGGAGAGTGCAATGCCAACCTTCTAAGTTGTTTTTTGTCTGTGATATTCCATGTACAGTGATGTTGAGAACATTCCACATAGAAGGTGGGAAACATTCTACATGGAAAAAAATTTTCTGAAATGGTTACATGCTAAACTAAAAAAAAAAGTTGTCATGATCGAATGTTGCATGATGAAGTTTCGCATGCTAAAATGATGCTTGCTCGAATATCCCATAACGTACAATTCAATGCATCTTTACGTTTTAAAGACACAGCTACATATCTTTCTGTGCCAAATGTACTTTCCGACGATTGACATGGGGGTGTTTCTTTCAATTTATCAATGTCAATAGTTGATCATTTCCTCACCAGGGTTATCGTATTTGCCAACCAAGGTTAAAATGGTGTAGAGAATACGAAATTTGAGAATACCCCTGATTGAAAAATCATGGATTCAGGTAACTAAAATAGAAATTTCCAATGGAAGACATCGATATTGTAACTAGATTCACTGAACAGAATAATTGAACTTCATGAATCCTAACACTCGGGAGAGTCCAGACTAATGGTGTACAGTATACGGTCACATCTTCCTCGAGTAAAGGAAGACATGGAAAATTTCTATGATCAACCCTCATAGATTTGTTCTCTGATAACATCATGACATGCGTTCCATAAAAATTCGTGTTATAGACTCAAAGGAAACAATTGCGTTCAATTTTATCAATTCATGCTACCAATAAAGCACGGAATATACTCAAACTCTGCAGTTCTAAATTGAAGATCATTGCAGTAGCATTCCTGCCCATTTGGGATGGACCTGTGTATGGTTAAACCTCAATATCTCAAACCTCTCTTGTCAAATTCCCTGCAAGTCCCTGGCTGCCTTCAATTTGGAACAATGCACAAAAAAACCTTCTTAACCAACCTCAATAATTCAAATTTCTTGGAGGCATTGTGGAATATCATTTGCGTGACCAAGGAAATGGAAAAACAATAAAAATAAAACTTGATGTTTTTCAAGAGGAAGTGAAAGAATGATACAGCAAATGTGCCCTTTCCTCCAAATTCAGCATCCTGCCAACTTCTTCAAGAGGCAGTTTGAGCCAAATGTCAACTTCCTTCAACTCAGCTTTTCCTTTTTTTGAAACAAAATAGTAGTTTCTTTGAATCAAAACCTCCACAATCCAATTTTTTTATCCCTTGGGATTTATCTTGAAGAAGTTCAATGGTAACAAAATTACAGGAACCAGAAAAACGCATTGCCCAGATAATTTTGCTGTAAAGAACCCCTATAACATAGATGAAAAAGCTGCATGGTGAAAAAGTTTTTATGCAGAGAAAATGGTTGTAGACAAGATCATTGTACAGAGAGTCCACCTGCCTGTACGGAGTTTTCACTTTGGATGTGGAATTTAGGGGAAAGCAGTGATATTCCCCATGGCAGCCTCACATTTCAACTTGTAATAAAAAAAACGCTCCATTGTTATCAAATGACGTCATCTAACACGTTCTTAAAACCAATAATATATGAAATTTCCCACATTGATTTCAACTGTTAACACACGTGAAAAGGGCGCGGTTCATTTCGCCCACCAGAACGCGCTCTCTCTGTGGATTCTACCCCATCCCACCCGCGAAACTCACCTTTGGCATAGTCTCCGAGGAGCAAGTTGAGGTGGCCGAGTTTGCAGTAAATCTTGGGATCCACGGTATCAAACTTGCCCTTCTCCGGTTTGGTATCATCTTCGCAGCTGATCGCAACCTGTACCCGGTGCTTTTCCAGCTGCTTCTCCAGGTGGCTCACCGACTGAACAAAAATTGGGGAGTATTTTTCATACTTCGCGGAATAAGCAAAAACGGAAACCGGAATCCGAAACGGAACTCACCTTCACGACGAGCGCGTGTTTCCGCGCTTCCTTCGGCGATTTCAAGTCGATGAACCCGAAGTCACGACTAAAAGTGGAAGGAATAAAAGGTATCAAGTACGAATGCGGTCTGGAAAAATTGCCCTATAATTGAACAATCTTCTTCGCGAACTAAAACTTAGAAGCCGAACCAAGCAAACGTATCACACGAGGAATTCTCGGCATTTCAATGAACAAAAGCTTACTTGACGAAATTCGTAGGGCAAAAGCAATCATGCTTCATTACACGCGTAGCCCATCACATTGATAGGTAGGTTTGCTCAATACACTTCCAAAATGGTACCGAACCAAAGAACACAGAATACGTTCCGACGAAATAAATCTCGCATCCCATAAGACATTAGGGTTGTTTGTTAGCTGAATAAGTACCGCACTACCGGGATTTTTTCAAAGATTCTCACCTGTCCAAATCGGCGATGATCCTGACTTCCTCCCGCGACAAAATCAAGGCTTCTTCCACGAAGCCGTTCACAGAATCCGAAAATTTCTCACCGGCTTCATCACCGAGCTTGAGCTCTGTGAGGAACTCGTCAGTCGACGCCACGGGTCGCGACAGCGTCGACGGCTGAACCATGGCGGTGTTCAGCCGTTGCGGCTCCACGAGCATCGCAGGAAAAAAATACTAAATGCGGGCCAAAAAATTTGGCAGGGCCTTAGAAAAACGCGAGGCACGTCACAAGTTCCGACGGGGCCGGAATCACGCGAAGGTGTCGCTTCGCGTTGTCAGCTTCACTTCGAGATTGACAGCGCGACGCGACATCATCAACAGCGACACTCATACCGCAATTCACGCTACACCAGGTCATTCACACTGGACAGACGAAGAGTTCATGCATCAAACACAAGTTCGGATCCCGAACTTGCCCGACAAATACTGCACATCCCGGCAGAGAAATCTCGAGCTCTTCCCTGTGACACAAATCCTATCCCGAAAATGGATCAACTCAATTGCGTAGATACACAGATACACCGTAATTCAAGAAGAGATACACCGTAATTCAAGAAGAGATACACCGTAATTCAAGAAGCAACGGAAAATTCTAATCTCTCAGCGAATCGACGGATCACTCCAAAAGCATGCACACCGCTCAACGGTCGGACGCGGACTGAGCGCGCCACCATTTTCCCCGCGCCATTCAGGTAACCTGTCTTCCGTTGCCCTACATGAGGCGCATCGCCGGGGTTGCCCCATGCCCCGAAAGCCAATAGCACCGCTGTCACCCACTCACAAATTCTTGATTTGCGATTATCTCCTCAAGGTTTGAAAGTGTTCGTCCGGAAAAAAACACCGAAATAATCAAATTGAGGAAAATTCCCAGTAGAAAATAGTCTCTGAAAGAAGAGGAGTATTATTGCTGATATGTACTGCTGTAGTAGAATTATAGTTATCCAGGCTATTAAATGCAGCATTCTTATTTACTCAGAATAATTAAATCTCAGATTTAAAAATTCCGAGTTTCGATAATTTTAAAGAATTATGTAGCACATTTACCTTACTTCAACACATGGGAAGCGTTTTTCCATTGAACAGTACATGTCTGGGAATCCTTGGTTGTCTATTCGTACTTTACTTCAGCATGTAGATGCAGTACAGTGTTCGAGTTCAAGCTGCAATACAGTCTGACCTATTTTATTTCAAGGTACAGATGAAATAGTTTATTCCTACCTGAGAAGCAACTAGAATTATATCCTGAATAGGCGCAATTAGGAACTGGGACATTTCATGGAAAGCATGGTAATGACACGTTGTATTTCTGAGGAATATGGAGTTTGTCTAAATAGAGGGTAGTGAAATGACTTCTAGCAATGCATTCAAAATGTTTTTGGCCAATAGAAATTCTTCTTTCTGAAGTGCAGTAATGTATCTGCTTTCTTAAAATTGAGTTTAGTACACATATATATATAAAAACACGCGAGGCCATCATCCTCGTAATTGAAATATTTCATCAGACTCTAAGTTTAAATGGCATCACGCTGGTCATTCTTTACCAACTCTATAATTCAAAACATTTTATGCATACTACTGTATAATGAATAGAAAATATAAGCCAAAATATTGTCTTTTACGGAAAACACATTTTCAATGTAAAAGACAGGTTTTTCCATTTGTATCTCAACTATTCAACGCAACTCCACAAAATTCAGATACTGTAACAAAACAACTCAGTTTCTATCCAAATTATATTAGCATTGAAGAGAGCCCACATTTATTACAGGAACAGTAGAAGTTATGTTGGAACACCCATGCTCCTGCATAATACTGTACTATCTTCCACAATTCTTTCCTGGAATCTTCAGTGAAATTCCACTACCATCCACCAGAAAATAATAATTTTGTTTTGGACAAAATCCTGTCCTTTTTTTTCAAGCAGAAACAAAAAATTATAGCACTTGGGTAAATGTAGCATTCAGGACAAACAGGAGCAATAAAAATAAAACCCTGTATAATTCCCTTGGCAAAATAACATTTTATTGGAAGACAGATTTCAACACAAGGCAGCTGGTGACACAAAGTTCCCATCAAACAATCCAAACAAATAGCTTCTGGTGCATGAGATTCATCAGTGATCACTATCAAAAGTCTTCTTGGTTTCCACCACCAGCAGTGGGGTTTCTTTGCCAAAACAAAAACAGAACAACAAGAAATGCGAATATTTTGCTGAATTCCATAGCCAGATGAATAGACACAAACTGAATGAGCGAAATGAATTGTACATTGTTGAACAGTCTCGATCATTACAGAGGATTGCAATTTCGTTGTTTCAAAAAATAAAATGTATCATCCACATAAAATTAATCCTCCCTCTTTGAAATGCTAAGACACAATTGAACATGCGGTAGAACAACGCATCAGAACACAATCCCTAAAAAAAAAGTTGCCTACAAAACAGCAAACATAAAACGTGCGAAATTCACAACTGATCCCTTCCCATTTAGGAATTCCCACATTTAATCAATCCCCGAAATTCAATAATACGCTTCGCTTGAAATCACAACATTAAAACTCGTTTTACGCAGCGATTTTTCTCTCAGTGGAATTCAACTTTGAGGGGAAATATACCGTCAGCATTTGTATTTACGCGCGTGTAGGCCGCATCAACATTTTTGAGCAGCCCTTTTCAAAATGAAATACAGTATTTCATGTCATGGAACATTTTTTGGGACATTCGAGAACCAAAACCACCCACAAAATTTTAAAATTTCAATAATATACTGTACCTGGTTTCGAGGGTAACATATGATTTAGGACTTACGGAAGAAGTGCGTGTAACGTTTTGGGCCAAAAAGATAAATTTTAGAACATAATTCTGCATCACTGGAAAAATTTTGGGACATTTTCCCGCACACAGATTCATATTAAAATTTCCAGAATAGGCCCCACTTCGCGCATAACAAAGGATTCAAGACTTACGGAAGAACATGTTTACACCTTCTGAGTCGTAATGTGAAATTTGAGAACGTAATTTTACGTTCATATCGCAAAATTACGAGTATTTCAAGACCCTTTTCCCATCTTTCGTTTTTTTGCAAGACAAAAAAAAAAAAAATGCGGCCTACATGCGCGCAAAAACAACGGGTCATTGAGCTGGAAGATCACAGTTCGTCTTTCCACGAGTCTTCATGTTCCTCGTCAGCATCGTAATCGAAAGCACCGGGATCAACCACGTTATGGTAAAATACCGTTTTCTTGGCCACCTTCCCGTCTTGGTCGTGATTGGCAGCTATTTTCACGGCCGCGGAAATGGAGTCGAACAGAGACTCGACGTCAACCTTCGGTCCCCAGGCTCCGATCACTTTCCCTCCGTGATCCACGAGGTACTTGTAGAAGTTCCAATCCGGCATCACGCCACATTGCTCTATTGACAAAAGAAACGAAGAGTCAGCACTACCGTATATGTACATATCATCAAAAGATTCAATGTATATAAAATCTGAACCCTTTTCGAAGTTTTAAGGACGATTAGACTTTTGCGAATTTCTTGCAACTCGTTCATTTTTTGAAGAATTTTTTTGCATCGCAACCTAATAAAAATAAACAATAACCCAACACAACCTAAATTAAGCCTCAATCCATGGCTAGAGAAATCGTCAGACATAACTTGTTTTAAACCTAATCTACAGTATAACTCAATTTACCGAATACAGTATCAACATAGGACTGGATATAATACAGGTATTAATCATATCTGAGGTTCTTCTACCTTAATGACGTCGAATTTACAACTAATGCTGTTAATTTCTTGCCACAGCAACGTAATAAGGAAAATTATTCATCATCCAACACAGGTTTTTCCACTATATTTAGTTCATATCATCTTCTTCTATTTGATTAAATGAAGACGGTCCTGATTTATACGTAGTAAAAGTATTTTTTCGGGGAAAAAAGGAAAACGGCTAAAGATATTCCTGAGTAATCCAGCAGTTTTCTCATTAGAAAAAGTTGTAAAACTTCATCATCCAGATTCATCATGGAAAAAAACAATGCTTCCTCAAGAAAAAATTACGGTACTTTCTTTCATAAGAAAATCATCATTCAGATGCACCGACGCCATTTTACCTTCAACAGCGAGTCCATGTACTGTAAATTGAACTGTCCTTCGAAACTCGATTGCGAAAAGCTTCGAAGATATAATCATCTGAAAAAACTTACGATATAAATTTTTGAAAGCCTTATCGGCGTTCTCCCCAACCACGTCGATTTTCTTGAAAATAGGGAACTCGGCATGGAAAGTGTTGACGACAAAGTTTACAATTTCCTGCATGCTTCCGGGTTCCTGTTCACCGAACTGGTTGCATGGAAACGCAAGGACCCGAAAGTACCCATCGTGTCCTAAAATCCCGTCCAGTTTAGTCAAGGCTTCGTAGTGTTTTTCCGTGAACCCGCAGTAACTTGCTACGTTAACGACTAACGTAACCTGGAAATGAGTAAATGAAATTATTCTTCAAGTAGCAGGTAAATTCAAGTGAACGCCACTGCATTCAAGGAATTCAATTGTTTTGCGTGTTAATTCCACTCCATGAATGCGACCTTACTTTGCCTCTGAACTGCTCCAATGCGAAATCTTGATCTTGAGCATCTTTTACAGTGAAGTTGTAGAAATCCTTGTTTTCGTCCCCTGTCACACTGGCAATCAGCACGCCGAAAACCAACCAAGTCAACATTTCGCACGAAGAAGAAATAAAAGTGCAACGGGGAAAAACCTAGAGGGAGAAAGAGCAGGAAATTTAGTCAAGAAAATCCCTGAAATTAATCGTCAGCAGATGAAGAAAATCGAGTAGATGTTACAGAAATATATTCCACACGAGCAACAAGATCTGCTCTGAAGCTCGGCGAAAAGATTGCACAATATTTTTCATTGCAGATTTTTCACGGCAATGGCACGCTACAAATAATAGCGAAGCACAACCACCCGTTTCACAGCTACGTTCAGCTAAAATTCACGCCGGAAGAAATATTCCGACGATTTTATTCCTGTGTGGCGAGGAACTCCAGATATTTTTCCTCACTCATGAGTTCCTTCGTCTCCTCCGGCTTTGCGAGCTCGATTTTGAATAGCCAACCTATACATTCAATTCGAAAGAGTAAATCAAATTCAACTGGTGATAGCAAAAAATCACTCAGCAAATAATTACTGTAAATATTTTAGTTGCAATGCGTATTTCAGCATCGGTAACGTTCGCGCTGGACGCTTATTATGACTTTCAATCGGTTGCTTACTTATATTCTATAGAGCAATTCTTATGCGTTCAGGTTCTACGTCAATCCACTGTACTGTACATCGAAAACAAGCCAACAAAATGTTATGATACTGTACTATCAAAAATTATACCTCAAGTACACGATATAACAGTAAAATTTGCGATGGGATTCTGAGAAATTGAAGAAACAAAACGTATCTAGTTCACTTTACTTGAAAATCGTGAACTTCTACTAGAACTGCTATAAGCCGCAAATACACTTATAGAAACAATTTCCTTTCCATAATGCCCACGGCAATTTCCTGTATCGAAAGCAGAAATTCACGACATAGAATGGTAAGAAATACCTTCTCCGTAACATGAAGTATTGATCAGTCCAGGGGAGTCTTCACAAGCACTGTTTTTCTCGATGACTTTCCCAGATACCGGCGAATAAACTTCACTAGCGGCTTTAACGCTTTCTAAGGCACCGCATTCACCAGATTGGCTCAACTCTTGGCCTGCATTCGGCAACTGACAGTAAACAATGTCTCCTAGAGACTGTTGAGCGTGATCCGAAATTCCCACGGTACCAATTTTCCCGTCTATATCGACCCATTCGTGCTTTGGGGTGAAAAGCCGAGCGGCTGAAAACAGAACGACAAAAATAATCAAAGCAGACTTCATCAAAAGTCATTGCATCCACCTTACCAAGGAAAGACGAAGCCGTGAACGAGCGTCGCTGTTCTTGTAATCTACCTAATGATTTCGTTTGAATGATAGATGCGAAAATTCGCCGAACGCAAACGAGATTGTGCGTCATCGTTTCGAACAAACGTTGCTAAATCCAACACACAACACACTCGCGGACAGCGACAAGGACGCAATCTTCAGAACACGGCTTCTACATGGACGAATGTCTAGGAAGAAAGAAGGAATCGATGATTTATGCAGCCTTCGGAGGTTACCCTAGATGAGAGACATCGCCATAAAGGTATGGTAAAATCACGTTCGACTTGGAGATTCTGAAGTCCGCCCGCAGCCAATTTGAATAATAGAAAAAAACAACGTTTTCACACCAAATTTGTAGACACGGAAAGAAGGAAACTTCGACTCGCTACACACGATAAAATCGAGCAATTTCTCGGATGAATCCATTAAACAACGATGCGATTGGATCTTTCCGTAAATTTTTAAGAAACTTGTAGAGTACTGTCGGGAATCGGATTTATATAGAGGAAACACTGGAGACGCCAAGGCTGCCACATACTGAAAGCCACAATGCACACTTCCGATGTTTTGCGAAGATGAAATCGGAAGCTAGCTTATTCGGGGAGCAGCCATATTGTATGTGAATTTTTTTGAGCAATACTTGAATTCAGATTTATATAAAAACATAAACCTGCACATCGAAGCCTCCGTGGCGCAATTGGCTAGCGCGTTCGGCTGTTAACCGAAAGGTTGGTGGTTCGAGCCCACCCGGGGGCGCGATATTTTTACCCTAGCTTCATCACTGCATCCGGATTTTCTACTGCATATATTTTACTGTACTGTGAATGACTGAATTGATTTCCGAAACATAGATATCATGAACCTTAGTCAAGCCTGGAAAATCGTCTCTCCCACTCAGGGGACCCTGATTAAAACCTTGTGAAAACTAAATTTGTGAGCATTAATTTTATCAGGTTAGCCTTTTCTGTAGTTTTTCTTCCTTGATCAAAATGTGGTTCAGGGCTGCGGTGTTCCTAGCCATGTTGGTGGCCTCAAACACTGCAAAACTCGCTCCAAGATCCTCAGACTTTTCTGCAGATGTTCCAGAGATTGATTACTCAAAGGCAGATTTTTTGGATGAGATTGGGGCAAGGCCAGATGCCAGAGCATTCCAACAAGCTAGTGGCATGCCTTTGGATGAGTCTCAGTGTGAGATGTCAAAATTTAATTTACCCCTCTTCTTCATGGCACAAATGTTAGACTCTTCTGCATATACTTCACAAATACATCTAAATATATGTGCTCATATTTTATTTGTGTCTTGAACATAAACAAATCATATTAATGTGGGGGTTATATGGACATAGTTGTTGTAGCAGCAAATGATGCACTCATCTTGCCTTCTGCTGAACATGATGGTATCCCATTGCCAGTTGAAGACTGGCCTGTGCACCCTGAGGACCCTGTGGACAGCTTTGAGGCCCTCAGGGACAGACTCACTGATGCTGTGGAGACCATCTTCCCAGGTATACCTGCTGTGTATATATATCAAGAGTATTATACTAAAATCTCCAATGTTCAAACATTTCAGAAAGAGTGGATGATTACAAAGAGTCTCAAAGAAGAGCTAACCTAGGTGTCAAGAAACAGACTCCTATAGCAGATCTGTCCAACAAAAGCAGCAGGACCCCCTCAATTATGAGTGAGATTGAAGACCTGTTGGCTGAAGTGTCCCATCATGGTTTGGCAAAGGGTGCAGAGGTTTCTGTTGGTAATTATTGCCAATGTGTTCGGAAAACTTTCACTCTAAAAATAAGGCTAGCTGAAACTGCCCATGTTACATAAATACTTAAATATCTTTTGAAGTGTCACCTTTTCTATTTTCAAAATTAATTTAATAGTAATTTAAATTTGCCAACATTGAATATTTTCCCTCAGTATAATGTGAAGAAAATACTTGATTCATTAACTGACATAGTTCAAATATCCAATGTAACAGAGGGTGAGGTACCAAAACTAGGCTATGGCCAAGGGTCAGGGGACACCTGCTTCTGGATGCTTGTTGGCTGGATGGGCTCTGTGTCTGTGTTTGCAGTTCCAGCAGCAATCCTGTATCTCTATGTTAAATGCACAGGAATTGAAATATGCAAAGTGGGACGTCCATGTTGTGGACACTCTCCCTCTCATGGTGGTATCAATAACTACCCCCAGAGTGCCCAGGATGATGAAAGAGAAATGGAAGATGCTGGAGGAGCTGATTACTTTGTGGTACATCCATATGGGGATACCAACATCATGGCTGCACAGTATGGACTCAGTTATCCTGCTGGTTCTCCTGCAAACATTAATGATCCTCTGTTGACAAATCCATCAGGCTCTGTTCCTGTTTCTGGTTTCTACAATTATGGACATTGATTGAAAAATTTCTGGAAAAATACTCATCCATTTTTATCATGTCATTTTTGACAATAAATTGCTTTTTTCCTGAACACGATGTTCAAACTTCAATGGACATTGTATGTTGATTGGATCATATAGCTCTCAAATAAAAATCTTCTACATGTGGTTCTGCCAACTGTGAATGCTGATGTGGTTGCATTTCCCCTCAATTTTTGAATAGCTTTTAATAAAATTCTCTCAAGTTTGTGTTTTCCTCCTCAAAATCTTGAATTTTTGCAAACTGACCGATTTTAAAATTTGGCTGGAACTAATGAAAACATGTTTTTGTTGTCTTCATCAGATTTCAAAACTTCGATAATCAACCTCCATCTTTCTGTTCAATTTCCCGCCAATATATAATCAAAGGGAATATTTTCAATGTTATAAATTTAACATAAATTTATTATCTGGTGCAGATGTGTGTATTACTGTGATTTCTTTGAATTTCAAGTTGGCAAGGATGTAGCGCGAAGTCGGGTGAACTGTATAGTGACACCTTGGATCAGTTACACGAGGCAGAGTTCTTTCAACAAAATTATTCATGATAGATGTCACTACAAGGTTAATATGATAACTTATTCATGAGCTTCATCCCGGCCGGAAAATCCTCGCAAACTTTTCACTTCTCATCCCGGTTTCTTTCTTCATACTTCTTCCTGAAGCTTGAAAATTCAGAAATATGAGAGGAATAACACGAAAGACCACCCAAACATGATGATGACTGCAAAGACCCGTCATTTGAGGCGGTCTCCCTAATCACAGAGCCGGGCAACAACAACAACAGAAATTTCGTCGGACATGTGGACAATTGAATTACGCGAGACCTCTGAGGGTCACTTCAAATCAGTCGCATCGAAAAAATCCTGAGTCCTTCCCTCCTTTTTTTTTTCCTTTTCTTATTTTTTGCGTGAATATATAACTGTTCCATTAAATTACTTCTCAAAGCTCGTTAAGGGGCTGGAGTCTCGATCAGTACCCGGATGGCACCTTTTTCTCGTAACCTCTTATAGATGAGCCGAGGTGCGTGTATAATATAAAGAAGAGCGGAGGAAAAAAGTGCAATCCCAGGTCACTTTTGTCGACCCGACTTCGACGATGTCGTGATTCAAACACACCGCAACTCTCACCTTTTTGACCTCAAACGCTTCATGGCAATCAACATCAGCGAAAAACCGCATCAACTGAACATCAGTGCAGAGAAGCAAAAATAATAAATAAAATAAAAGGAAGATATGACCCGATTTTTGGGGCACCGAAGTGTGCTGAAATTCTTGGCTTTTGTCTTTCCATCAGTGGTTTGAATTCAATGGAAATTTCACACCATCAGGAACAATTCAAGGAGGATTATAATTCAACAACTAAAGAGAGTGAACTTTGAAATTAATTGAAAATGTGTTCAACTCAGTAGTTATGCAGAGTTGTTTCACAATTTTTGACAATTTTACAAAAATCTAAGGCTCTTCATCATACTTTAAAACTGAATGCTATTTTGTTAGAATTACCTGTATGCTTTCTCTGATTCCAAAAATTGAGAAACCAATAATTAAAAACCCCTTTTCTCAATAATTCAGAAAACAAAATCAATGGAAATAAATTCACATTTTTATCACTCACAGAATCTCTCTCATTTATTATCAGGGATGAGAGGATCCTCCTGTTGGTACCAAAATGTCCACTTTCAGTGAATATAAATATTGCACCTGAAAATTTGAATATTGTATAATTAGGAATTTGTAAAAAACATCAATTTTGAAAGTTTATGAATGTTAACAACTTGCAGTCAGATGAGGACCCTGGGTAAGGTACTAAAATGAACCTCTTGGTGGTGGAAAGTGAAGCAAAATCATAAGCTAAGGGGCATGTACTGGAAAGTACTAAGAACATCACCTGACCTTTATCCTATCCATAATAAGTACCGTATAACATCAAAAAGGGTTCTTCACTCCAATAAAAAGTCCAAATGTGAGCTGAATAACCTTCAGGACCAGAGAATAATGAGGCAATAAGGATTTTTGGTTTTCCCTGTTCCTCCCCCACTGTGAAGCCAGCAATATAATTGTGTGGGAAACCCTGCAACACATTCCTACCAACAAAAATTTAAAAGAAGAAAATATTAGGGGGGCATGGGAAAGTGAACTCCCCTCTTGCAGCTCTTTGAGGTAATGACACAGGTGTTGCAACTGTGCTCCAGGAAGCTCTACTTGCTTCCTGTGCCTTTTGGGGTTTGAACCAGCAAGGTTGCCTCAGTCAGGAAACCTTTTGTTGCTAAAAAAAAAAATTGAAGATTTATTGTGTGAGCAATTCTTGAGTTCAATTTTTTGGGAAAATCAAGGACCTCCAAATCTTTTCACACTCAACGCCCTGAGCTGGGAAATCAGAACATGGTATTGAATCTAATTTAAGTTTCATCAGAAAGGATTGAAAAGATGAGTTTCTCAATATGACTAAAAAAATTCTGATAAAGCATGCATTATTTTTCTCCAGTTGTTAAAAAACTATATTTAAAATTTATATATTTTTCAAAAAAATTCTTTGTAATCTTGTAAGGTACAGTTGGCAAATCACACTTCCCTAATTTAATATTTTAATTTTAATCCCTGGCTAATGCCCTTCAAGCCAGTGCAATTTTAAATTCTTCAAGTCAAAAAATTCTGGATATCAAACCTTTAGTAGAATTTTGAGGACTTTTTGACATTGAAGTGTGGCTGAATTTTAGACTGTGTGTTTTAAATTTAAATTTGTTTAATTTTTTGAACAAACAAACAATCAAGCATTTCAAGATTAGTTTCTTTATTCTTGCAAGAAGGAGTAAGACAGCTTATTCCTCCAAGTAGAAATCTGTGAATGATCAAAAAGTCAATTAATGTTATCAGATATAATTTTCATTTCTTAACTAGCTCAAATTGAGCTCAATTCTGTGCATCAAAAACTGTGGCATTTTTCCCAGTTGTTTTAGGCTAAGAGAGGCTCAACTGCTACTGAACAGTCTTTTGGACAGTGTGAAGAAATTAGCATTTTTATTGGATTTTGGAAACTTTTAAATGAAAATCTGCTCTGAGGTTGTTTATGAGGCATCAATCCCCTGGATACCCACTGTATGTATTTCACTTCCACATATTTCTTCAGCATTCTGAAAATTAGCCTTTTTTCACCCCAATTGCATGGACATTTTTTGCAGATGGAATGACTTTCAGGAATGCCAGAAAAAATTAGGATGAAATTTTCAGTTCAAAGTATTTATTTCATAAACATTTGATGAATCCCCATCCTCATTTTTAGTCCCATGGAATTCTGCGGCACTTGAAAATTCAAAGGCAGTGAAAATGTTTCCAACCCTTTGGCTCCCTTTCTATATTCAACATTCTGAACTAACAAGTCACTCCATTTCCAGAGAACAAAAAAACCTGAATCTCCCTTTTTTTAAATACAATATGCCAGTATGTGCAGTATTGGCAACCCTGGGACAAAAGGACAGGAAGCAGGGGGGAAGTATAATCACACACTGTGGCCCCTGGAGGCAGGAAAAAAGCAGGTGCCCCTGTTTTTCTCACAGTTGGCTGAGCTTCCTGTTGCAGCAAAGAATGAAAGAAATAAAAGGCCTCTTGCTGAGAACTGCCTCATGATGAAAAAAAAAAAAAAAAAATTGGAAGGCACAGGAGGCTCTGAATGACTAAGCACATTTTAAGGGTGAAGAAAAATAGAAGGAACAATGCATAGGGGAAAAGAAGGGAGTCTTTCTGGCTTGAAACTCAAGAACTCCATGTTTGAAGCCATGATGATGGGGGGAAAATTTTCTGAAAAATGGCATGAAATCTAATTACTGGATATATTATATTTTTCTCTCATGCAATTTTTTTTCTTAAAATTTAAATTCATTTGCAAAAGTTAACCAGAAAGTACTCATGATCTCCCTTGGGGATTTTCAAGAAAATCATTTCAACAGTTCCTCTGAAAATTATTTTTCTGTTTCCAATATGGGGAATTAATATTTAATCTTGAATTCTCGACTTTTGAAAAAAAAATTTTGAAGAAAATAACTCTACATTGAACAAAATAATATTTCTTCTTTCAAAATAAGAAGAAATTATTCTATTTACTAAAACAACTGCACTAAAAAGAATAAAATATTGTGTGCCACATTATCAATTAACGCTCACCAGAAAGGTTTGTTCCAGATTAATTTTTTCGCGCGTCACCAGATTTCCAGCGATAATTAACCCAATAAACAGTTAGGAAACCTTGGAACTACTGAACTCATTTAAAAATAATAATTATCTTTCTTACAGAAGCTGCATAAAATAAAAATAAAAAAAACTGTTGATCCAGATATTGAGAGAAACCATTTCCCGGACTCGGAGCTGGACTCCGTTTCTTCCTTTGATTGATGGCCGTTTTTCGTCGCACTGGCAGGAAACGGCAGTGACTGACCGGAAGCCGAGCAGAACAAAACGGAAGGAAGTAAGAAACAAATAAATACAGGAGAAAAAAAAGGAAATTGATAAGTGCGAGACTCGAGTGATTGTTTTCGTGATGCCCCGAGGCCCGGTTCAACGAACGTCCGCCCTTGGGGTTCCGAACCATTTCCCCAAACTACTACTTTCAGGCAACAAAATACTATCCCTTCTTCTTTTCAAGAAAATTTATATTGCATTTTTTAAAAATAGTCGACAAGAACAGAGTCGTTCATCCAGGCAAAATGAATCGTAAAAGGAAGAAAAAACTAATTAAGTACCGACATTAAGTCGTGGCATCTGATTTCATTTTTCAAATCGCATATCCATAAAAATTCATTAAACGTCAGAATCGTCAGCATCATTAGAAACATATAATCCAGACAGACTCTCTCTATAATGACCTTGTCTTCAACAAAATTCTCCTTTTACATTGATTTTTTCTCCTTTCCTGACATTTGCTGTAGACAGATTCCATTGGAAAAAATAAATAAAAAATCCCCAATACAGTACCACTTTATGTAAATATTATAATTCAAACCAAAATTATTTTCCGACCAGGTGAAGAAAAAGTTCAGTACTATATATTTCAGTCATACAA